CCCTTATATTTATATAGAATGTGTCATTGTATAGTCCAATATTTTATTCCTTGATATTGGAGTATACTTGATAACAACAAATAAGGCCAACATCTCATATCGACTTATTTGAGTACAACCTTGCATTTTATAGTCATACTCTATCAAAGGGTCCATAGATATTACTCTCGTATATGTAGGAGGGAAAATCCCATCTAGGCCACTCATGTCCCTCAACATAATTTGTAAAGTACCCATAAATCATCTTATGATCATCCTGTTACGTACAATATTTGATTAGCAATAAAGTACTCGACTCCACATCTAGGGTCCATAATGGTTTCAGGTCGAAGGGTGGTATACATCACAATCTCTATGAGAATAACTTATGACACTTACATAACAAACTACGTAGTATTCTCATGGTGGGTGAATAGTATAAATATTACTCCTGAGATTTATACCTACGTGAAGACTTAATATCTCATATCCATGACTTGTGAGATCTAGTCATCAGTCTACTCAATAATAGTCTATATGCATTACTGTTATCCTATTTGACAGTAAATCTTACTACATATACTTTAAGAATAACATCCTTATGTTTAATGAGGTCTAACGATTAAGTCACATTTAACAGGTCATTAATAAACTAATTATTTTAAGGACTTTATTATGTCATATACAAATAACACAATAAATACAATGCCTAATTAGTATATATAACAAACAATATATATCAAGGTCATAATATAAAAACATATACAACCAATATTGATTGTTTATTAGAGGTTACTCCAACACAGACCACACTGTCAAATATATCAGGGACGGAGAGGTATCATTAGTCTGATTTTTGATTTATTTTTTATGTTAATTTAAATTGCTGGCATTGATTATTACTGACATTGATTATTTCTGAAATATCGCAGGTGCGTGATCCCTAGAAGTTTATGAACCATGGGAGGAAGATTGTTGGTCTGCCTCAGCTGGATGAGGAGTGGTTTCAGTCGGTTACTACCTTATCTGGGTTGAGTGACCTATGCATGATAGGTTACATTCTGGTCAACCATGAGATGCTTAGTGCATTCGTGAAGAGATGACATTCTGAGATGTATTTTTTTCATCTCCCGCATGGTGAGATATCTATCACACTAGATGATATCTCGTGTTTGTTACATCTTTCTATCAGAGGGAGATTCCTTGGTCATGGTAGGATGACCAAAGACGATGTAGTCGAGATGATGGTGGAACATCTGGGGGCTGATCCAAGAAAGACAATTGAGGAGGTGGATAGGACCAGGGGTGCCACCTATACTGACGTTGAATCAGGTGGTTCTTCAGGGTCTCACATTAGTATATGGTGCCGACTGCTTCAGGAGATCCGCCGAAACCAGCTCATTAGAAGATTCTAAGGGGAGTCCTGGATGCCATTATGGCGGAGGCACAAGGGGCACTGTTGTACCGTAGACATCAGAGGACGGGGAGAGGTGTTGATGACCGAGGAGGCAGGGAGAGGTTGTCAGACACACTGAGTAGTTGTCTATTATTATTTTGATGTTGTATTATAGTTTGTACTTTACTTCTGACATTGTTACTACATTTTGAATCTCATGTTGTACGACATTTTACTATTCTATTGCTATATTATTTTCAACACGCGCAATACTAGTCTTTTATTAATTTGTACGTCAAATTTTTTACCTGAAAACAAATACACAACTCATTATAAAAAAAACATGTTCTGATACACTTCGGAGATGTATCTCCGAAATATCAATGGAGATGCATCTCCGAAACAATTCAAATGTAAATGAATTATAGGTGACATATTCTGAATGTGTAAAATGATTCCAGAGATATATCTTCAAAATATATCCAACATTTATTTAAAAATACAATACGTCCAAAATATATCTACAAAATCAAAAAACATATATGAAAATTCTCATTGTATGTTAAAAGTCTATAAAGTGCACTAACTAAGAAATTCACACGAGGTTTTTCCAATAACAAACAATTTAATTCTATGAGACAATTAATGATTATGGATCAAAATAATTAAAAAAGCCAAACAGGATTAAAGCCACTTTTAAACTCAGGACAAAACATACCCACTACTGATTTAAAAAGTAATGGTCATAATAATTACAATGCTATAAATTCAAGAATGACTTTGGAGATAGCATGTAAACGTGGCCTTTTCTTTTTGTAAGAGATTCCACCACTGTTGCTGATCATGTCACTCACTTTCTTATATATCCATAAGCTTTCAAACATGTTTGTGAACATAACATCCCCAACCACATTCATTTGTCATCACTAGACTTTCCATAATTGTTACTTTTCCAACTTCATTTTTCTCCATTGAGCTCTGCTCCTTTAAAACTTCAGGTGATAAAGCATTCAAGAAAATGAGACTATTATCTTCCATGTTCATCATATCTACGGGTAAGTCCATGTAGAATTTCATTCATTTGCATATATTTTAATTTTCTGTTCTCTTTTTTCTTCATGTTTTTCTTCATTTTCCTTGAATAACAACAATGAGTAGAGGATAGGCCACTTGTGGTACTGAATTTATATCTATTAACTATAACCAACTTATGCACAAAATTTGACATCCGCAATTATTTTAAACAAACAGTTTAGATTGGTATAGATAGTTGAAGAGGACATGTGTCCAAATCCCTCTTAATCAATAGTTTTGCTTGGTTGTCCTCTTTCCAGGAAGGGATTTGTTTTTTCTTTTACTTGATCCTCAAAGGGATCATAGGACCCAAAACTTACACGTGAGAGTGGTTTTCATGTGGAAAGATTCTTTGGAGCGTGAGAGAAAACAACAATATCTTCTAAACAGATCAATAAAAAGGTAACTATAGTTGAAGGTACTAAGAAGATTTTAAATGTGAGGAAGAGAAAATCGTTCGTAATTGTAAAGCTAATGCATAATAAGTTTGAGTATGCGTTGGATGTGAGTTAAAAGAAGTTTGAGTTTTAACATAATCCGATTTGATTCGATTTGGTTATGTTTGTAACATACAAACCGCAAACTAAAACGAACCATACGATTATAGATGGAAATAGGTTGGGGCGAGATAGGCTTTGTCAAACCTAAGTCTGACTTGTTAAAAAAATTGAAGTCTAAGTTGAAGTCTAAGTCTGACCTTTAGTCTGTCATAAATTTATTTTTAGGTCTGAGAATTACCTTTTCTAAAATCTGGTTAACCTATTAGCCTATTTAAAAGCCTATTATTTTACACCTTTGTAAATAAGTAATTAAAATTATGTTTAAATAAACTAACAAATTAAAAAATTAGACTAAAAATTTGTTTGCATTGATTTATTTTAACTTATCAATTACCATAAGTTTTGTGAGACTATTTGTATATGATAACTTATGAAAACAACTTATAATATTATTTGTTGTAAATGTGCCTTAAACCCTTCGTTGATGAGGAGAAATTTTTTTTTTTTTGAAGATTGTATTTTTCGTGAAAATCGGGAAAAAAAATTGGTCGGTGAATAGTATCGTTCATACGGTGAGTAGTGATACCCGTACGGATGAATAGTGACGTCCGTACGGTGAATAGTATTTTCGAGTTTTTAGGCTTTTTCGATTCGGTCCATGGATCCATTATCCATGTGATTTTGGACTTTATTTGTTGGATATTTGCTATTATAAATATGTATCTCTTCTCTTATACGTATGATGTGTGACAATGTTAGAGTTTATAGCAACAAGTGTTTAACATAGAGTTTCAATTACTCAGAAGCAAAATTTTAGAATAAAGGTTTAGGAAAACTTTTAGAACTATTTAAGATTCACAAATTGATATTGAATTTTGTCCGTAATTCACAATAACATTCGCAACATTATTCATGAGACGTTATCATGTTACTTTTATAATTTCTTTAAAATAATCTATTTTTAATTATATATTTTAATTTAAAATACAAGATATAACGTAACGACAATAAAAAAATTATTTATATTTATTTAAATAGGTCGGACTGATTCGGTTTTAAACACTTCTAAATACGTGATCTGCAGCAGTGGAGAGCGGTGGGGAGGGCAGCAGGGCAACGACAGGAAAGTACAATGCCATGGCAGCACATCGTGACTTCTGAGTTTTAGACTAACAAATGTGGCACTATCTTGTCTCCTCAATTGATTCAATGGACAAGAATAACTCAATTTTTATTTAAAAACCATTCTGAGCAACCGTCTCATACACCGTGACCTGTTTGGAGAAGACAAAGTGTTGCTCCTTCGAAGAGGCCACACCAAAGTTGGCCTGGCCATGGAAATTAAATCCAACAACATAATTTATCACATAAAGTATATTCACTAAGTTACATGGAATGTCCAAACACTTCGGTTTATAATTATCTGAAAAATCTCTTTAATTTAATCAGAGATCCTGAGTTCGTAGTTATCTCTGCTTTAAGAGATTAGTTTATACAGTTACGCGTGAAGAATATCCTATTTATAAAAAAATTACTTTGCTTAAATTGATAGTGATAGGTGTCAGGTTGTAAGAGAGATTCATCACCTACTCACGAGGCTATGTTAAATTGCGGTTAACACCAACCCTCGAAAGACACAGTATTATCACATCACACGTGCGCTTACATACTCGTTCTTTCCTTACTTTGTTATTACATCAACTGTCACTGCTATGTGTATGCGCTAAGCAAAACAAACACTCACTTTTGCATATTCCAAATACCCTTTTCATCAACCACATGCAAATTTACCACTTTCTCTCAGTTGTTCATGTACCGTTTTCAGCTCCCAAAATACATGATATTGTTACTTTAAAAGTCTTGTATCTTGCCAACTGAAGATTTAACCTCAAGGAAGGAAAAAGAAAGAAAGATACTCTAATTATTACTACAAGGTTACAACGTTTCTGCTTTATTTAAAATGTTTTTTGAACCTTTATTAGTTTGAAATTTTTGTTCTGAAGCATTGTTGGTTTTGTTGCAGTGCACTTACTCATTTTTCTATCTGGAATATGGTTGCTTTTGGCAAGAAGTTGAGAGAATCACAGATTCAAGAATGGAGAGGGTATTACAATATTGATATTTGTACAAAAAGTCAGAACTGCTTGTTTTGATTCATGTGACACATGCTTTAACTTTTTTTTTTCTTCTAGATACTACATTAATTATAAGTTTATGAAGAAGAAAGTCAAGAGATATACAGAACAAATTGAGGTTGGAGCTCAAAATCACCATAACGTACTCCGCGACTTTTCGTTGCTTCTAGACAATCAGGTGAATATGTCTAAGGATATTTTGGATTGGTGGTTAATTTATTTAGTTTTATATAATATTATTATTAGCAACAAGCTCAGTAGCACCGACACTTACGGAAAAAGGCGTGTCCGAGGTTTCGGTGTTAATGTTGGCGTCGTGTCTGGTTGTCTGTGTGCGCGCTTCATAGGTAACGAGTACTTGAGAAATTTTTTAAGTCTTTCTTTGCTTTTGATTTCAGATAGAAAAAATTGTTTTATTTCTGCTTGAGCAACAAGGAGTTCTGGCGGGGAGGCTTACGCGTATTGGAGAAGATCACCAAAATGTTGTACAGCAGCCAGATTGTTCAAAGATATCTGAAATCTTAGAAGCATATAGAGAAGTTGGAAGAGATCTATTAAAGCTTCTTTATTTTGTGGAAATGAATGCTACTGGTTTGAGAAAGATCTTGAAGAAGTTTGATAAACGATTTGGCTATAAATTTGCCGACTATTATGTCAAGACTCGTGCAAATCATCCTTATTCTCAGCTAAGACAGGTTCTAAGGCACGTGGTAATGTTTCTAACCCTGATATATATCCAGGTTAATGTTCATAGCCGTCTTAAGTTTTTAGAGTTCCTGTGTAGATTAGCTACGATTCAACTGTGACAAGAACAATTAATAGCTCTATTTAGTCATGATTTAACTGGGACAACTCTTTTAAGAGGCCATGTTTAGCTCAATTTAACCGTGGAAAATTTGAGGCTCTGTGTTTTATTTAGTCCATCTCACACACCGTCGAAGACGGCCTGTTAATGTTACAATACTAATGTTGCAAACTCTAAGTTAGTATTTTGTGTCATCTTTGGTATCATGTAAGAGTTTCTTTACAGGGAATTGGTGCTGTTGTCGGAGTCTTGTCTCATAATCTTGCAGACATTCATGATTTACTAAAGTGTCAAGGAAGCTACATTTCTATATACGACCAACCTTCTTATGCTCATCAAGTTAGTTCTTGATCCATTGTTTACATTATACTGTTATGGTTGGTAATTGGTATTCTTCAAACACTTGATGAGAATTTCCTTTTGAATTTTTCTTGAAGGATCCAATTCTTGTATGTATCAAAGCAGCAACAGATAAATTATCCAACTCAACAAGTTTCCTTCAGTTTTTGGGAAGACATGCTTTTATCATGCAGCAAGAGGAACTATCACCATCTCCGTCCGAAGAAAACACTATTGACGAAAGATATCATTTTATGTCGCTTCTTTTGAACTTGGCAAGCACATTTTTGTACATGGTCAATACTTACATCGTTGTACCTACGGCCGACAACTACTCTTTGAGCCTCGGAGCTGCTGCAAGTGTTTGTGGCGTCGTCATCGGTTCAATGGCTGTTGCACAGGTGTTTTCTTCAGTTTATTTCAGTGCGTGGTCAAATCGGTCATATCTAAAACCTCTTATATTCAGTACCATTGTTCTTCTAATTGGAAACGTCATGTATGCATTGGCCTATGATCTTAACTCAGTAGCAGTTCTTCTTATGGGACGACTTTTCTGCGGGCTAGGCTCTGCAAGGGCCGTGAATAGGCGTTATATCAGCGACTGTGTACCAGTGAAACTTCGGCTGCAAGCATCAGCAGCTTTTGTTAGTGCAAGTGCTCTTGGAATGGCTTGTGGTCCAGCTATTGCTTGTTTGTTACAGACTGAGTTTAGGATTTACAAGTTGACAATGAACCAAGACACACTACCTGGATGGGTAATGGCTGTTGCGTGGCTCGTTTATCTACTTTGGTTGTGCACTTGTTTTAAGGAACCAGAAAACCTTTGGGCTTATGAACCAGAAATTGGTATGTCTATGTCACCTAGGTTCTTCGTATTCATTTTTTTAATACGGTATTACTTTTATTTACGGTTCTCTAAACGCATATAGGAGAACAAACATTGCATATTGCAGTAGAGAATAGTCCTACACAACCATTACTAACGAATTCAGAAGCAAAAGAGCAAGATGTAGATGTAGAAGAAGAAAACGACGACGACGAAGAAGCTTATGATAAAACTGAATCTCAGAAGCCTGTTACTTCTATTGCGCTGGCGTATAAGTTGCTTACACCATCAGTAAAGGTAAGGAACCTGTTATAATTCTTCTTGCTTTCTTAACTTTCATCAATTATTTGAAGTCTGATTCAATCTTTTGCACTAACTATGAATACTTTTACTAGGTTCAATTGTTTGTGTATTTTATGCTCAAGTATGCAATGGAGATATTGCTTGCTGAATCAAGCCTTGTAACAGAATACTATTTTGTTTGGTCAACAACCAAAGTCGCCGCTTTTCTTGCATGTCTCGGTCTTACCGTCCTTCCTGTGAATATTATTATCGGAAGCTACATCAGCAACATTTTTGAAGAAAGGTAAACCTTCAAATTTATATTATCATTACAATACTTTTTGACTTTAGACAACAGAAGGCTTTAAAGCCGTTATCTAGGGGGTAATAGGCCAAGCTTTTTTGTCCTAACTACAAAGTCATATTAGATCTTTACTTGTTGGTTGGCTTGTATTTGCAGGCAAGTTCTACTAACATCAGAAATCATGGTTTGCATTGGACTACTCCTAAGTTTCGAAACATTTATCCCTTATTCAGTAACTCAATATGTTGGATCGGCCCTTATCACATTTGTCTCTACCGAAGTTCTTGAAGGTATATATTATTCTCATATTAACCTGAAGTTTTCTCTTTGAACTTGGCTTAATATCATTGTTTTTGCATGAACAATCCAGGAGTTAACCTTTCACTTCTATCGAAAATGATGTCATCGCGGCTTTCTCGTGGAACCTTTAATGGAGGATTACTGTCAACGGAAGCGGGAACTCTAGCTCGAGTTATTGCAGACGGTACAATAACAATCGTTGGGTATTTCAGCGAAAGTAAGCTACTGAATGCGACTCTACTCCCTGCACTACTCATCTGTATCTCGTCCATTGCTGCTACCTGTTGCACCTACAACTCTCTATATTAATATAAAGTAGTAGTTACCATTTCCATGAAAACCAGTGATGTATAAATATATATAGATACTGCAAACTTTCAGGAATTTTTATTTCTTTACCTTATTTGTAGTAAATCAATATCTATTTAATGAAATATCAGTCTAATTCCATCTAGTATAATTTCATCAACATATAATAACAGAACAATGAATTTATCACCTTGTATGAGGGTGAAGTTAGAAGAATCAGATGCTGATGATGGTATGAAGATAGAAGATTCAATCATTGTTCCAAACACACAGTTCAACCTAGTTGTAATCAAAACTCAACACCTTCGTACAAGGTGCATAACAATTTATTTTCCATAATTTGTGTGACCAATTAGCATAACGTTGAACAATAATTTCATTTTGTATATATAAATTCAATATTCAATATTCTTATGAAGCATATCATTACACTAATTGTGGAATAGTTTCATCATTATACACCATAAATGTAGGTAAAGAGTTTTGTTTGAAATGTGATTGAATTTTTTTCTAAAATAATTGAATTTGATACCCCTACTTGATTCGTTAGGGGTTCTCTTCTCAATTCACATGAAAGGGTAGTTGTGTATGGATTGATAATTCAAATTTTCATCTTTAATTCATCAGGATTTGGTAATTATAATATCATTAGCGCATATTGATGATAATAAGTCATTGCATCTAACAAAGAGGGATAGGAGACTCCGAGTAGTAGCATATAGAAATAACGTTCTATACATCGCCTAACACTGCTTACGCTGGCGGATTAGGGATAGAAAGTTCCGAGTAATGGTTAGTGAGTTATTTTGTGAGAAATCGGCTATAATAATTTTTTTAATTCGCTGTGGGGTTATAATGATTAGATCATTCATACATGACATCAAACATCAACAATAGAAGAATATGGAATTCTACAACACAACCCGACCGCTTTCGTGACATTGCACAATTCTTGTCTTGTTCGAACACAACCTTTGTGGGTTCGATCTTTTTACTAATGTGACATTATCGGTACACTTGCCGAGACGTCACCAAGTTTTGGCGCTATTTTTGGGGACTGTTGATTGCAATAGGGTAACGCTTTGTGCAACGTTTAATTTTTATTAGTTTATTTTATTTTAGTTTTCATTATTTCGATTTCTTTTTTTGGTTATCATAATGCTACTGAGATATTTTCTATTTGTGTATGCATAGTTAAGGATCAACATTACTACCATTCGATCCAAAATTTTAAAAAACCGCACGAACTCTTAGAAAAGCAGCTAGAAAAGCAATTATGCCTGAAGGAGACCAACCAGAAGTAGATCCACCACTGCTTTATTTGAACACTCAAGAGAAGGATCACATGGCTACCCCACCACTTTAAACTATGGGCGGTTAATGTAAAAGGACCGGCGACTGACAGATTTCTAGAGGGTTTGTACCGGTAGACCCTGCTAACTTTGATATTAAAAATTCGGTGTTTTCAGGTCTAAGAGACAATCCTTTCGACGAAAACACTATCAGAGATCCTTGGGTTCATCTTGCACGCTTCTACAAAACTGCTTCAATAAGCAAACCAGATAATGCCACGAAGGACCAAGTGAAATTACGATTGTTCGGTTTCTCACTCATTGGATGGGCAAAAGATTGGTTACTATGCCTTGCAAATAGAACCATTCGGACATGGAAAGAGCTAGAGGATAAATTCCTATAAAGATTTTTCACCACCAACCAGTTTATTGAGAGAAGGGCTGGAATTTTAGACTTTGAGCAACAAGATACGAAGTCACTGTATGACTCATGGGAGGTGTTCGAATTATTGCTACGTAGGTGCCCCAATCATAATATAAATAACATGGAGCAGATGCAAAGTTTCATTAAAGGCCTAAAGAGCCAGACACACATGTTGCTAGATGCTTCCACGGGAGGCGCGGTTAGACAAATGACCAAATCACAAGTCAAGGATCTAGTTGAAAAATGTGCTTGAACAGGTATCGAAATAAGAGTGAAAAGTCGGTAAAAGTTGAGACAATAGGGACACCAAGAGTTATGTTAAATGTTAATACTCAAACTGCATTATTAGCTCAAATTGAACTGTTAAATTAGCAGCTAGCTGAAAGCTGCTTAAATAAAGCTAACGGGAGTCAGGTACAAGCACTCGGGTGTGACTTTTGTGGAGGAGGTCATGAAAACATAAGGTGTTCTTTGGAAGGGTCAAGTGAAGAGGTTCAATTTGCAAATTTTCAAAAGAACAACCCTTATTCCAACACCTATAATCCTGGATGGAGAGATCACCCGAATTTTTGCTGGAGCAACAACCAAAACCAAAGTGGTAACCGAGCTATGCAATAAAACCAATAAGCTTCTAATTTTCAAAGGAAGCCTTCACAATTGGAAGAAACCTTACAAAATTTCATGAAATCCACTCAAATTAGCTTGGAAGAGGTTAATAAGAACCATAAAACAATGAGTAAAAACCATGATGCTTCCATCAAAAATTTGGAGACGCAAATTGGTCAGTTGTCGAGACAAATAGATGTTTTACCAAGTTCGAGTGAAGGATTCTCAGGTAACAATGTAGGTGATCCTAAGAATGAACCATGCAAAGTTGTGAAGACTGGTGGTGGGGTAGTTACTAAAGAAAGTGAAGCTGAAAAAGTTCAAAAGGGTGAAATTGAGAAAAAGGAAGGTGGAATTGAAATAAATGTGAAGGAAACTCAAGGTGACCAAGACAAGAGAGAAGCTACCCTTGATCAATTAATAGAAAACAACTCTCGTTGGAGGAGAACAAAGGGGAAAATCTTAAGTGAACCAAATCCACCATTACCTGATTACATGAAACCACCATATCTCATTATTAAAAAAGAGCTGGTATATGAGGATGAGGGTGGAATGTTTGCAAAATTTAAAGAAATGTTGACACAAATTTAGGTTAATATCTCTTTTCATGAAATTTTATAATTAATTCCCAAGTTTATTAAGTTTATGCAGGTATTACTAAAAGGTGGTAGGCAGAAGTTGATTCAAGAGCATGTCAACTTTACAGAGAAAGAAGAGACAGAAGAATCGTCAGAAGTGCCGCAAAAGATGAAGGATCCTGACGAGTTTAACATAACTTGAACCATTGGTGGGGTAAAAATCCCACATGCTTTATGTGACTTAGGATCCAACATCAATGTTTTACCGCTGAACAAATTTAAGGAATTAAAGATAGGAGAGATCATACCAAGCAACATGATACTCACTCTGGCCGATTCATCTGAGACACAACCACTTAGTATTGTACCAGATGTGCTTGTTCATGTCGATGGTTTGACCTTACATGAAGACTTTGTGGTGATTGACATGAAAAATGAGTAAGAAGGATCAATGATTCTCGGACGACCATTCTTGGCAACTGGAAAATCAAAAATAGATGTGGAGATAGGTGAATTGATTTTGAAGTTTAACAAGGAGAAGATGGTGTTTAATGCATATAAATGGACACCATATTTAGAGGATCTTAAGGTATGCTACAAATTGGGAGAGAGAGGTAGTGAAGTCCATAAAAAAATGAATAAAGGAGTTTTCACCGGTGTAAGAGTATCCCTTTCGCCTGATGCATTTTGAGCATGAGCCGTCAAGCTAATGATGGAAAAGAAGCGCTGGATGCGAGACAACCCGTCATTTTAAACTAATTTTTGTTTTGTAGAATTTAGTTTTGTTTTATTCAAGACAATCCATAAGAGAAATTAGCTTCTCAAGAATAACCTTGTCACGAAGATCTATATTGTTCTTAATAAAATTGTTCGTAGTTAGGTTTGAGCCTAAATAATTTCCATTGTCCACTTTTCTTTCTTAGAGTGTATCCATGCAATTTTATTTTATCTGGTTTGGTCTATTTTCTGATTAAGTTTTCTAGTTTTGTTGGCACACATTGAGGCAAGTTCCTTATTTATAACTTTGAGCCTGTAGCCACCCTGTAGTATTAGGAACATCTTTTGCTAAACGTTTGTCATACCCCAAATTTTGACCAGGAATTTTCAAGGTTGCTTTAACATGCATTTCATCGGGATCTTAAGACATGGGATCAGAGGTTTTCTGTTGATTTGGATGTTCTCTATTTAGAGGTGTTTTCATTTGGTTATTATACTCAAATTTGAAGCAAGGTGTTGGATTTTTCAATCATTACGAGCATTTTTTATCGGAGGTTTATCAAAGCACAGTGTCATCTTTTCTGAATTTTCTTAAGGGTATCAGATGCCTAAGGTTTCATTAGTGGCCTAACTGGAAGGATTTTGGACTAGGGTTTTGTTTGTCATCAGCTTCCTGGGTCATTGTTTCATCAGTTTGCACTCAAGGCAGGAAGTTTAGGGTATCTTACTCCTTCTGTTTGAAAAGGGAAGGTGGCATTCAGTTGAAATTTGCTTGAAGTTAGCAGGTTGAATGCATGTGCAGTATTGTTTCAGTTTCAAATTGGATGTGACTTAATCTTGGTCAAATAAAGTGGTTTTGCTTCATCTACAAGTCATCTGTGGCATGGCTGTTTTGAAGGCGAGGATGTGATACAATCCCAAATGTTTCATCAACGATCAAATTTGTTTCCAATTAGGGTTTGAGGCAGTATATTAAGGCTCATAGTTCAAGTTATGGTTCTCTGATTTTCATGACATTTTTATTTAGTCCCTAATAAAGACTTTGATCCATCAATGTCCAAATGACTGTACGTTCAAGTTTGGTTTGGATTCAAAATGTTAATCCATTTAAGGCTATGATTGATTCACCATCGATTTTGGTTCTCAAGGAATTAATTCAAGATCGTAGTTCTGTTCGATTGAGAATTATGGCCTATTATGTCAAGATGGAATCATTTCCCCGATGTCATTCCTCAAAGTTGGGCTCAAGGTTTCTTTTTCACTTCAAGATTGATTTTAATAAAGGATCTAAAGAAGTGGAAAATAAGTTTTAACCGTGGTTCTTAGATTCAAGTCAAGAGAGGCATTGAACATGAAAATTCAAGTTGCAATTATTATTTGTTT